ACTTTGAGAGATGAGGTTAATTCTCCGGAAAATATAAGAGACGATGTGAAGCTATCAGTAGCTGCAGCTGAAAGAACCCTTGAAGTTATTGTACCAAGTGTTTAGGACTGGATGGAAATAGTAAATGTGATCAAGAACGAGGTAGATGAAGTTCTTGAACAGACAACTAAATTTGAAATGAGGTGCTTAAATGGAAGGTGCCCAAATCTGGTATCCCATTACACGCTGAGCAGGAAAGCAATGAAGAAGACCCAGAATATCAGTAAAATTAAACAAAACCGTGACAGGTACTCTACGTTGACTTGCCCTGCATCGCCAATACAGATGGTGGCTGTATCTACAGAAGGTATCAAAAGCTTTGAAATTTGAATCTAGGAAGTCAACTACAAAACAAGTTATGGATGCTCTTCAGGATAACGAGATCAACATGATTGGGATATGTGGCATGGGAGGCATCGGCAAGACAACAATAGTGGAAGATATTGCCAAAAGAGCAAAATTCGAAAATATGTTTGATGAGGTTGCCATGGCTTCTGTGTCCAACAACAAAGATCTGATGAAGATTCAAGGTGACCTTTCAAGCATGTTGGGTTTGCAACTTGACAGCAACAGTAGTCTTCGTGTAAGAGCAGATAGACTCTTTACAAGACTATCCAATGGGACAAGAATTCTTGTAATATTGGATGATGTTAGGGAAGAACTTGATTTGGGAAAAAATGGAATTCCTTTCCGAGCTAACCACAAGGAGTGCAAAATTGTATTGACATCCCGAAATGAGCATGTGTGTGTTGAGATGGAATCTAAAAAGAATTTCACTGTCCAAGTCCTAATTGGAGACGAAGGTTGGGATCTTTTTAAGGAGGTGGCAGAAATAGATAATGGGACTAATGAGCTACAGTCCACTGCAAAAAGTGTTGCAGATGAATGCAAAGGCTTACCTCTTGCAATTGTTACTCTCGCCAATGCGCTAAAAAATGCAAGGGAGCATTCATGGAATGATACACTTCGACAATTAAGGAGGTGTAATGAGATGCCCAAGAAGGTGGAATTAAGTATAGAGTTGAGCTACAATATGTTAAAAAGAGAAGAAGCCAAGCCATTGCTTCTTCTTTGCAGTTTATTTCTGGAAGATGGTGATATCCCTATTGAATGTTTGGTTAGATATGCCATAGGGCTCTGTTTACTCAACCAAATTGAGACTGTAGCAGAAGCAAGAGACTTGGTGAACTCATTAATTGATTACCTCAGAAGTTGTTACTTGATACTAGGTGGTGATGAGGATACTGTGTGATTGCATGATGTTGTACGTGATGTATGCATATCAGTTGCATCTAAAGATATGGGAGGATATCTGGTAAGGTGTGATACTGGATTGACAACGTGGCCACAAGTGGCTTCATACAAAGATTACACCGCCATTTCATTCAAGTTTGATGACCTTGAAAGGGTTCCTATCGGCTTAGATTGTCCAAACCTCAAGCATTTACAACTGCAATGCAAGTTTGATGCACCCTCCTATTCCGGTATCTTCAATCCACTTTTTACTAGATTTGATTCAGGAGATTTTTTCGAAGGGATGAAAGAGCTCAGAATTGTTGCTTTAAGATCCATGTCCCTTCACCTTGAACCACTATCATTCACATCATTGATGAACCTTCGAACATTGTGTTTAGATTGTTGCAAGTTGAACACCAACACACTCATTCTTGGAAGCCTAAAGAACTTGGAAATTCTCAGTTTTTTTGAGTCTATCCTTGATGAATTTCCAAGTGATATAGGAGAACTTGGTTCTCTTAGAGTGTTGGACTTGAGGAGTTCAAAGTCCTCTAAACCTTTTCCACCAGGTGTTTTGTCGAAATTGTGTAGACTAGAAGAGTTGTACATGGCATGGTTCAAGGTATCGACTGAGTTCGATACAACTCGGCTGAGTCGTATCCGACTTGGCTTTTGACAATACGATATCGATACACGAATCGCAAGATTGACGAGTTTTACTAATATTGGCGATATATCGGCGAGATATTGGACGTCTCGACCGAAATCAGTAGTGTCGGTGATAAATCGATTCAACTCGGATGACTTCTATCGGAATTTTTCCGAGTCAAACACGACAGTGAAAAAATCCACCCATATCTGCGAAAAAGAGCAAAATTCTCCCATATCTGCGAAAAAGTCCAACACCCGTGTCACCCACACCTCTGTAAAAGCTTAAAACTCTTAATCATTTTTCTAAAAATTAAACAAAAATTCAAAAAAAAAAAAGGAGATGGGAAATAAAGCAGACCAGCAGACCCACTATCAATAAACCCATGTGAAAATTTCTGAAATCACATGAATCTTGAAGCAGCAAACCCCTATAAAAACCAAAAATACTAAAGATTTGAGTCATTCGACATACCTGTATTGTTCTTCTTCTTCATCTGGTCTTGTATTGTTCGATTATTTATTGAGACGATCTTGTTCGAGTTTTTGTTGAGACGATCTTCTTCGGTCTCTGTCGGTGAAGGATCGTGGTCGTCTCTCCATTTGCACCTTTTTTTCTCTTCCTATTGTTGTGATTGAGAAGTGAGAAGTGAAATCGTCTAAAGAGCTTTGAACCAAAGAGGTAAAGTGGGTAAATTGGTTTTAAAGGTAACATAAAAGTGGTAGTTCAATTGGGTAGAGTTGTTAAGTACTTAGGTGCAAGTCATTGGTTCGACTCCTCCAAGGCTCCAATATGTTGTTTTACAGCATGTTGGATTACAATTACATTATGTTTTTATATATTTATATTTAAAATAGCATGTTGGAGTCTTGGAAGAGTTGAACCAGTGACTTACACCTAAGTATTTAGCAACTTCACCCAATTGAACTACCATTTTTATGTTACTTTTAAGACAAATTTAAATATATAAACACTCAGTTAAAAAAAAAAAAAAGACAGCTTTTAAAGAGTTTTTAATTCCTTTCCTTACCCACTTTACCTCTTCGGTTCAGAACTCTTCAGACAATTTCACTTCTAACTTCTCACTTCTCAGTCACAACAACAGAAAGAGAAAGAAAGGCGCAGACGGAGAGATGACCACGATCCCTCACCGACAAAGACCGAAGAAGATCGTCTCAACAAAACCTCGAACAAGATCGTCTCAACAAAGAATCGAACAATACAAGACCAAATGAAGAAGAAGAATAATACAGGTATGTCGAATAACTTGAATCTTTAGTATTATTGGTTTTTATAGGGTTTGCTGCTTCAAGATTCATGTGATTTCAGAAATTTTCACATGGGTTTACTGATAGTGGGTTTGTTGGTCTACTTTATTTTTCATCTCTTTTTTTTTTTGGATTTTTGTTCAATTTTCAAAAAAATGATTAAGAGTTTTAAGTTTTTACAAAGGTGTGGGTGACACGGGTGTTGGACTTTTTTGCAGATATGAGGGGATTTTGCTCTTTTTCGTAGATATGGGTAAATTTTTTCACTATCGTGTTCGACTCGGAAAGATTCCAATATGAGTCATCCGAGTTGAACCGATTTATCACTGACATTATTGATTTCGGTCGAGACGTCCGATATCTCGCCGATATTAGTGAAAATCGTCAATCTTACGATTCGTGTATCGTTGTCGTATTGTCAATGGCCGATACCTTGAACCATGCTCTAAATATCTTTTTTCTCTCCTAGTTTTATTATAGTGACATTTAACATGTCTAATTTATTTAGAGAGAATTACACATTAACAAAATATAGTGAGATGAACTAATAAAAAAAAATGTTATTTGAACCTAATTTGATGACCTAATCTCGAGACCTAATTTGAAGCGGTCATTGATTGAAAGTAGATTCCATCTAAAATTGAAACTTATAACTGATTCAATAATTACATAAATAAAAAACAATATTAAGAACGGAATTGTAGGATAGTATTTATTGTGCTCTCTCCTTCCATCCGGAATTACTGGTCTTCTTTGTAAAACGCTTAATTAAATAAAACAATGGGCACTTAACTTTTTTTAGCTATTAAATCACACTTGCTTTTCTCTTCAAAGTGGGAAACAATTATGAGAAAAAAGGTTTGTTAGTGATTAAGAATAGTTAATTTAGACATCAATATCTTAACTCTATAAAAATAGTTTTCAAAAATTTTATCAAACTCAAGCTAACAAAATAAGGGAAAGCCATTTAAAACTACAAACCCTGAATAGTAGGGACTAATATTTATGGAGCTGAGTTTTATATTTAGAAAAGGCCTTTAGCATCCAACCAACTACAGACATTAACATTGTTTTTGAATTAAAACACACTATAGAGGTACTTAGCTTGCTACCCGGTAACCTTTGATTAATGTGGTTTATGTTATTAGGTTGATTATTTACTTGTTCATATTTTATCATATTAGACTTTTCATCAATTTCCATATTTGCTTAAACGACTTAGGTAAAGAAGATTTTAATGAATTTAAAGCTGTTGAAAAAAGAAAAGAAAAGAAAATTGTGGAAGAGAGAAAGTGAAAGTGAGATAAATAAAAAAATTTAGAATGGAGAGTTTAGTCAAAAGACAAATTATCATTTACAAAGATTGAAATGATGAGAATGATTATAGAAACAGTTGGCCAAAAACTAATAGACTTAAATGTTGCAGGGTTGTCCTCAATAAGGAGGGTAGAGCTAGATTGATGCTATGCTGTATGTTGTTAAGGATCAGTGAACTTGTAATTTATCATGTCCATGTACTCAAAATAATCAAGTGATCAACACGCTAATTGGATATCACAGGTTTATTTGCCCAGCATGGAGACAATGATCACCTGGAACATGGGTAACGTCCTACACTTAGTGGACTGCCAAATGCAAGTTGGGTCATTCGACAAATTAAGAGTCATGAATGTGAAATCCTGTGTGGCACTAGGAGCAGTGTTTGATTTCGAGGAGGTAAAGGTTAGAGGAAGAGATGTAGAAGTCACATTCGATCAGTTAGATTCATTGTACCTATATCGTTTATCTAAGCTAACGCATATATGGAGGATGGTTCCCAAAGAATTTCAAGGTTTCAAAAATCTGAGATCGATACACACCTTATACAAGAGCTAATACTGATAAATTGTAAGGTGATGGAAGAAATCATAAACTGGAAGGAACTAGCGGCAGGGTCATTTGCATTTGGAAACTTACAAAAGCTGGTGCTAGATCTCCTACCTGCAATGAAAAGTCTCTTTCCATGCTCCCTAGTTAAATGCTTTGTGCAACTCCAACATCTTTGGATAAGTCGGTGTGAACAACTAGAATATATTGTGGTAAAGGAAGAAGTTGATGAAAACGATACCAAAAGGATCGGCTTCCCAAAACTCAATTCCCTGGTGATGGAGGATCTGCCAATGCTTAGAAGCTTCTACCCCAATTCTGACAATCTATTTTGCGGACAGGTATGCTTCTCTTTTCTAATATCCTTAATTAATTTTAGGCAATGCTAAAAGTTTTTGCTTTTTTTTTTTTTGGGTACAACAGTTGGTTAATGGCCTAACTACTCTAGCTCTAAAAATCATTTTTTTTTCTTAATTTTATTATAGCAACAGTAAACATGTGCAATAGATTCGGAGAACTACACGTTAGAAAAAAATTAGGGAGATGAACTAATAAAAATGAAACACAATATTAACAATGCAATTGAGATGGTAGATATAGTATTCTTTCTTTCAACTGGAATTAATGGTTTTCTTTGTAAAACACCTAATTTAATAAAAGGGAAAATTATAATTTAATCCTTAATGGTCTTCCAAAGTAGGATGTACCAAATTCAGCATCGTCATCTCATCATCTTCCATCACACCATCTATTTTGGCTATGTAAATCAAGCAATAATCTCTCCCTCTCTCTCTCTCTGGCCATCCATCCCGCCATCACCATTGTCAATACTTATATTTGGGGTATAAATCATATTACCTTTGATTTCAATTTGGTCCCTCAAAACTTTCAATTATCTCAATTTAGTCATCAACTATCAATTTTGTCTCAATTAAATCCTTCCATTCATTTCTACCTTTAGACCAACGCTGAAATGAATTAGATTGGGTTAGTGTTCAGTAGATCTAACAATGAAAATTGATAGAAGAACTTAATTAAGACGAAATTAATAGTTGAAGGACTAAATTTGAACAATTGAAAATTTAGGGATCAAATTGAAATCGAAGGTAACGTTTAGAGACCAACTATGATTTTTACCCTTATATTTATTACTTACGGACCAAAAAGAAGTGATTGATGTGTACATTTTGATAGGAGAAGGTGATAGGTGATGGTTGTGGTGGGTGGTGGTGATAGCGACGACGACGACAGTGGTGGTGGCGGTGGCGGCGGCGGCGATGTTGGTGGTGGAGACGACAACGGCCGTGGTGACAGTGGCGACGGTGGCAGTGGTGGGGGGTGGCAGTGGTGGTGGTGGCGGTGGTGATGGTGATGGTGGTGGTGGTGGCAACGGTAGCAGTGGCAGTGGCGATGGTGGTGACGACGACAATGGTGGTGGTAGAGGTAATGGTAAGACGGCTTCAAACACAATTTTTTTTAAAGTAGTTTTGAATGAAAAATAATTCGTAAAAGTACTTTTAAAAAGTCACTCTGAAAAACACTCTAGGGGCCTATTTTTCCTATTAAATTTAGGGTGTTAATATTAACCGTTAGATTAATTTTAAAGTAAAATTTGAAGCGATCGGAACCGTGAAAAATAAAAGTCTTTTTATTTATCTTTTGAATGAATTGTAAGCTACTGTATTATATACTAGTTATTGTCTGTATCTGAAGGCACATAGTAATAAAAAATGTTAAACAATAAATATATTGTGTTCATATCCAAAATTAAATCAGAAACATAGAGAAGAGATAAAAAGAAATTTAAAGTCGGTTTATAGTGGAGTGAGAGGTAGTGGGCGGCGTTGGTAGTGGTAGGAGACGATGATGGTTGTGGTGAGTGGCAATGACCGTGGTGGCGGCAAAGGTAGCAGCGATGGTGGTGGTAGCGGCAGCGACAACGGTGGTGGTAGTGGTGGCAATGGTGACAGCGACGATGGCGACAGTAGTGATGGTGGCTG